GCACGCTTGCTGGAAGTCCAAACCCCTTGCCCACAACACCTCCTTTACCCCCTCTCTCCAACCTTTTCGAGGACAACCCCTACCCCGCCTTCCTTCCCCTACAGATTTATACGCTCTCCATGTCATTCTAGTTCGATCCATTCTCTCTAAATGGCCAAACCACCTCAACAAACCCTCTTCAGCCCTCTGACTAATAATTTTATTAACTCCACACCTCCTAATTTCCACACTCCGAATTTTTGGCATAATATTTACACCACACATTGCCCTTAGACAGGACATCTCCACTGCCTCCAACCGCCTCCTCGCTGCAGCACTTACAACCCAAGCTTCACACCCATATAAGAGTGTTGGTAATACTATACTTTCATACATTCCCTTCTTTGCCTCCATAGATAACATTTTTTGCCTCCACATATACCTCAATGCACCACTCACCCTTTTTCCTTCATCAATTCTATGATTAACCTCATCCTTCATAAATCCATCCGCCGACACGTCAACTCACAAGTATCTGAAAACATTCACTTCTTCCATACTCCTCCTCCCGAATTTGATATCCAATTTTTCTTTATCTAAATCATTTGATACTCTCATCACCTTACTCTTTTCTATGTTCACTTTCAACTTTCTACCTTTACACACACTCCCTAATTCGTCCACTAACCTTTGCACTTTTTCTTTAGAATCTCCCATAAGCACAGTATCACCAGCAAAAAGTAACTGTGTCACTCCCCATTTTGTATTTAATTCCCCATAATTTAATCCCACCCCTCTCCTGAACACCATAGCATTTACTTCTTTTACAACCCCATCTATAAATATATTAAACAACCATGGTGACATTACACATCCCTGTCTTATACCTACTTTTACTGGGAAATAGTCTCCCTCTCTTCTACACACCCTAACCTGAGCCTCACTATCCTCATAAAAACTCTATACAGCATTTAGTAACTTGCCACCTATTCCATATACTTGCAACATCTGCCACATTGCTCCCCTATCCACTCTATCATATGCCTTTTCTAAATCCATAAATGTAATAAAAACTTCCCTACCTTTATCTAAATACTGCTCACATATATGCTTCAATGTAAACACTTGATCTACACATCCCCTACCCACTCTAAAACCTCCTCGCTCATCCGCAATTCTACATTCTGTCTTACCTCTAATTCTTTCAATAATAACCCTACCGTACACTTTTCCTGGTATACTCAGTAAACTTATTTCTCTATAATTTTTACAATCCCTTTTGTCCCCCTTCCCTTTATATAAAGGGACTATACACGCTCTCTGCCAATCCCTAGGTGCCTTCCTCTCTTTTATACATTTATTAAACAAAAAATACCAACCATTCCAACACTATGTCCCCACTGCTTTTAACATTTCTGTCATGATCCCGTCAGTTCCAGCTGCTTTACCTCCTTTCATTCTACATAATGCCTCACGCACCGCCCCCACACTCACATCCTGCTCTTCTTCACTCCTAAAAGATGGTATACCTCCCTGGCCAATGCATGAAATTACCGCCTCCCTTTCTTCGTCGACATTTAAAAGTTCCTCAAAATATTCCCGCCATCTACCGAAAACCTCCATCTCCCCATCTACTAACTCCCCTACTCTGTTTTTAACTGACAAATCCATTTGTTCCCTAGTCTTTCTTAACTTGTTTAACTCACTCCAAAATTTTTTCTTATTTTTATTAAAATTTCTTGACAGTACCTCTCCCACTATCATCCGCTCTCCTTTTGCACTCTCTCACCACTCTCTCCACCTTCCTTTTACTCTCCATATACTCTGCTCTTCTTATAACACTTGCGCTTTGTAAATACCTCTCATAAGCTACCTTTTTCTCTTTTATCACACCCTTTACTTCATCATTCCACCAATCATTCCTCTTTCCTCCTGACCCACCCTTCTATAACCACAAACTTCTGCTCCACATTCTAATACTGCATTTTTAAAACTATTCCAACCCTCTTCAACCCCCCCACTACTCATACCTGCACCAGCCCACCTTTCTGCCAATAGTTGCTTATATTTTACCCGAACTTCCTCCTCCCTTAGTTTATACACTTTCACCTCCCTCTTACTTGTTGTTGCCATTTTCCTCTTATCTTATCTACCTCTTACTCTAACTGTAGCTACAACTAGATAATGATGTGATATATCAGTTGCCCCTCTATAAACATGTACATCCTGGAGCCTACCCATCAACCTTTTATCCACCAATACATAATCTAACAAACTTTCATTACGTGCTACATCATACCTTGTATATTTATTTATCCTCTTTTTCATAAAATATGTATTACTTATTACCAAACCACTTTCTACACATAGCTCAATTAAAGGCTCCCCATTTTCATTTACCCCTGGCACCCCAAATTTACCTACTACTCTCTCCACAACATTTTTACCCACTTTCGCATTAAAATCCCCAACCACAAGTACTCTCACACTTGTAGATGAATGGTTCAGAGAACCGACATGTTGATAAATTAGCCACTGTGTGGCGAAACGTTTCCTCAATAAAGATACCCAAGAGTTGCACATGTGTCTAATTTATCACTCTCACACTTGGTTCAAAACTCCCCACACATTCACTCAACATTTCCCAAAATCTCTCTCTCTCCTCTATACTTCTCTCTTCCCCAGGTGCATATACGCTTACTATAACCCAATTCTCACATCCGACCTTTATTTTACTCCACATAATCCTTGAATTAATACATTTATAGTCCCTCTTTTCCTGCCATAGCTTATCCTTCAACATTATTGCTACTCTTTCTTTAGCTCTAACTCTATTAGAAACCCTTGACCTCATCCCATTTATTCCTCTCCATTGAAACTCACCCACCCCCTTCAGCTTTGTTTCACTTAAAGCCAGGACATCCAGCTTCTTCTCATACAACATCCACACACATTCCGACTTCCCACTTTGACAATTTTCTTCTTATTCTTTTTAGTAATTATTACAGGAAAAGGGATTACCAGCCCATTGTTCCCGGCATTTTAGTTGACTTTTGCAACACGCATGGTTTACGGAGGAATGATTCTTATTCCACTTCCCCATGGATATAAATGAAAAAGTAATTAGAACATGAACTAAGATAAAATCAAAGAAAACTCAGATGAGTGTGTATAAGTGTGACCTAAGTGTAAGTACAAGTAGCAAGACGTACCTGTAGTCTTGCATATTTATGAGACAGACAAAAGATACCACCAATCCTACCATCATGTAAAACAATTACAGGCTTTTGTTTTTACACTCACTTGGCAGAATGGTAGTACCTCCCTGGGTGGGGGGGGTGGGGGGTTGGACTGACCTGGCTGGCTACCATACCTCCCAAACCTGACTTCCTACAAATTAAACTCATCTCTCACCCTACATTAAGACTACAAATATTTTAAGTAATGAGTGTAATGTGTGTGTATTTTACATTTTATTGTTTTTAATGCCTAGTTCTATTACTAACATAATATATGTTAGTGTAAACTTGTTACCTGGCATTTATATGCATTAATAAGTGGAAAAAATGGCGTTCTGCTTTCCGGCGATGTCTGCTTTCCGGCAGTAGCCTGGAACCTAACCTGCTGTATAAGTGGGGCCCTACTGTAAATCCTCATAAAGTTTAGGATTTTTTGGTATGAATTATTTTTTAGGTAAAACAACGTAAAAATCACTCAAAAATACGTGATGCAATTATCCAAAAAACTGCATTATATGTAACATTCCTAGTCCCTTTCTCTCTGAATAAAACAATTTCTGGATTAATTCACATTTTCTCCTGAAAATAGAAAAAATAGAAAAACCACTGCATTTCTAATCATACCTGAATTTAAGGATCTCTCTTCCCCATAATTAACATTTAATTTTTCAATATTTTCTGCAATACCTTATATAACAATGTTCCACTTTAAAATGAATATTCCCAAAGCAGTAATTCTCTCACATGGAGCAAAATTCACTTAACATACTCTTAGTACCTCCCAGAATCTTTCCTTTACATATCTCTCTTTTATATTATAAATATTATTCTTGAATATATACTTTCAAAACCTCCTAAATTTTCTGCAACTTGTTTTTCAATACACTTCCTTTAGCTTTCATACTGTCAGATACACACATCATTATTATTACATTCATGGAGGAGTGCTAAACTCATACAGGTTAAAGAGGCAGCACCAGGGAGAATGAGAGGCATTCAGATTCAATACAAGGAAGGGTCAGGCAGGCTCAATCTAAACAAGGGTTAAAGCAGGTCAAATTCCTTGGATCAAAAGCATCTCACCAGCATCTATGAACTTCTCTTGAGTGGTGCCAGATACAGATAACTTCTTGTAATCCTTCCTATTTAAACACTTCCACCCACTGCAACTTTCCCTCAGGTGCTAGGACATAAATTTCTTTGTCACATTATCGAGTGAAACTCTGGTATACGATACTGACAAGTTGTGGAAAGACACATGAGCAAACACTTAGGACATTTTATGAAAATATTTTGGTCCTGGGACACTGTGCACCAAATATTTGGAGTGCATAAAGTCCCAGGACCAAAACATGTCAATAATGAAATGTCCTGAATATTTGCTCACGTGTCTTATCTACTCATTAACTTTTTTTATTTTTTACATAAAGTTTAGCTTAACTTTCAAAATATTCAAGCACTGTTTACCTAAAGACAAAGTATTCTAATGGATAAAATTTTTGAACAATTACAGAATTTGCATATTAACATTTTATTCTAATTTGGCCTTCTCGTTACTTTCTCCTGAATATATGATATCCATTTTTTGCATAACTGTTGTGTATCTTTTCACATACTATAATAATTATATACAATGATATAGAAACTGCTGCAGTAAAATTTATTGGAAACATTATAACAGTTGCTATGAATGCTGAAGACAGCAAGTCTTTTAAAAATGAAAGGGTAGCCATAGTCAAGTAAGGAAAGACCAATGAAGTTATAACTTCTGCTTAAACTTACCCCTTTTTCTTTTAAAACTGTAGCAGCAGCAGTGTATTCTGGCTTCATGCGTTTGCAGTGTCCACACCAAGGGGCATAAAACATTACTAACACCGATGTTTCACCCTGTAAGGAGACTCTACAGTAATACATTACAGTGATCATTGGAGAAATAATATAATGTAAATTCATCCATTATTATCGTACAAATGATACACAAATTAAATCAACTTTACTGAAACTTCTAACCACACATCATGTACAGAATATAACTACTCCAAGGTCAGTACCAAAGAAGTTGCCACACTAATGCAGGCTATACTACATTAACCCTTTCAGGGTTGGTGCCGTAATAGTAAGGCTTGCACGCCAAGGTTATAGACATACTAGTACGCATAAATTCTAGCGGCTTCAAATTAAGCGGGAAACAGCTGGTAGGCCTAGATGTGAGAGAATGGGTCTGTGTGGTCGGTGTGCGTGGTAGAAAAAAATTCTGGGACCCAGTGGCGTATTGTGGGAATGCCATTTTAGTACACCTTGTTCACCATGCCTCGTGGTAAGAAGCTCGTCACTCCTCGACGAATTGGGATACTTTTGTTCCCCAGTGACAGTTCTAATACAGATGGTAGTGCCAGTGAAGATGAGTTTCAAGGTTTTGGCGAGGTTGTGGCTGAAACTAATGACCATAATACCGGTAACAGTGAGGAAAACCCAGACGGCCCTCAGCCTTCCACCTCTGCTGCTTGGCTGTCTTGTTCATGTTCAGTTGTATCAGAATCAAAGAGGAAACTCCTATTTTCCCAAATCCAGGACTCAGATATGAGCATTGGTGACGATAGTGATAGTGAATATGAACTACAAGCTCTTGAAAACAGTTCCTGTAGTGAGAGTGAAGTGGAATATTCTCCAGTGAAGCGTCAGTATATACAACGATATATGCGTCTCTGGTAGTGTGACATATGCTATTCCAAGGTGAAGGAGTACATCTTGGAGTACATCCCATGGCTGTACAACAGGAACAGACGGTGAAAATGAAGATGATAGTGTTGCAACTGGGATGGAAAATGTGCATGGTGGTGGTAGTGGTGGTGCCGGCCATGAGGCACCAGCAGTGGGCCATGCTGCCACCCACGCTGCCACCCATGCCGCTGCCTCAGCTGATCTACAACAAAGGCCACCATCCCCCACCCACCCACCACACCAGCCTCCACAACCACAACTTCCACAACCACAACCACCTGTCAATATCCAGTACCCACCAGCAGACTGCACCTGGGATTGGCAGGAAGCTGCCAATTTTGTTCCCAATCCCATCACTTTGATGAAAGTCAAAGTGGAATACGGCCATCTTGTACACTTGGGAAACAATGCCAGTGAACTGGAATGTTTTGATTTTTTCTTTGAGAACCCCTGAGGGAAAATTATTGTCAGGGAAAGCAACAGATACTCGAGTACCCATGGCAAACAATATTTTCCCCAAAAACTCACACCTACCCAGGGGAAGGGACAACTGTGGCTGAGATGTATCTTTTGTTTCCACAATAATGCTTATGCCAATTTTTATAAGCACATTGAAATATACGGTCAACAGCCCGCCTGTTTGGGACCCCAGGTTTTCAGTGTTATAATAAGGTGAAAAATTTGTGTTTTTATTACGTAGCTTCATTCTCAGAAAAAACCAACCGACAGAAAAAGGTTATATAAGATTAGGAATGAGTTCATGTACTAAAACAAAAATTCCAATACAGTGGCCCCCCGGTTAACGTTTTAACCCTTTGAAGGGGGCTCATCGTTGCGAAAAAATCGTTATGCGAATGAATTTTCCCCATAAAAAATAAGGGAAAAAAAAATTTTAACCCGTCAAGAGCCCAAAGTATGAAAAATTTTTTTTTTTTACCACATGAAATGTTAATTTTAATACACACAAACTGAAAAAGCTGCACAATTACTGACACTTATTTTATTGAAGATCTGGTGATGATGATGGGATGTGGAGGAGGGGAGCATTCTTCTTACTGATTAGAAGGGAATCCCCCTTCCATTAGACTTGAGTAGCAAGTCCTTTTCCTGGGGTTACTTCCTTCTTCTTTAATGCCACTAGACCACTTGAGAGTCACCTGCCACTGTCGCACACAAATCTGTCCATGAGCTCTGTAACTCCCGCCAACTGTTCCAAATGGCCCATACTTTGATTGCATTGAAATAGATCCCACACGGCTTGCAACAGCTGTGCGGGGATTATGCATCTATAAAGGTTTGGCTAGTTTCAACCCCTGTGCAACATTTCTTATCTTAGAAGAGCACATGGATTCCACAACTGGCATAGCTTCCAGGGTTAGCCAAACCCTCAAAATCTTTCTTAATTTCCATACTAATTCACACCCTTTTTCACCCAGGGTTGGCACTAGAAGCATTCTTGGGCAATGTCACTTTTTTTCCAGAAACAGCACCGAAAACACTGTATAAACATTCGAAATATTCCGAGTGATGCCTTGGATTACCGCAGGGGCGGTGTAAACAATGGACGGCGGCATCATGTGAGTGCACATTGGACGCGTCTCGACAAAATCGGTAAGGGGTTTTTAAAAACGGTCTGCGCGGCAAAAATTTTGCGATAAAAGTAATCGGTATGCGGAAAAATCGCTATGTGATGCCATCGTTATGCGGGGGTCCACTGTATGTATTTTTATCCCTTCAGGAAGCTTGTTACTGACGAGTCTTTGATTCTGTTCAAAGGAAGACTCTCATTCAAGCAATACATACCAAGCAAGAGGAAACACTTTGGTATAAAACTGCTTGTGCTTTGTGATTGTTACAGTGGTCTTGTATTCGATATAATTGTGTACACTGGAAGTAATACATTGCGAGATACCAGGAAGTTACTGGGTATCTCCGGTGATGTGGTTAGAACAATGATGGAGCCATGTCTTGGTAAGGGACATATTTTATATACTGACAACTGGTACACAAGCCCCTTACTCGGTGATTTCTTGCGAGTGAACATGACAGATGTGTGTGGCACAGTGCGTGCAAATCGTAAACATATGCCCAGGTTCGACGCTGGCACTCGTAGAGGTGAGGTGCAAGCCTTTGCTGCCAATGACATCATGGCATTTTGGTGGCATGACAAATGCGATGTCACACTGTTGTCATCAGTTCACCCTAATGAAATAGCAGACACTGGCAGGCAGCATAGAGAAAGCAATGAACCCATTCTAAAACTGCAGCTGTTATTGACTACACCCTCAATATGCATTCAGTGGACAAATGTGACATGCAGATTGGGTTTGCTGATTGTGTTCACAAGAGTTATAAGTGGTACATAAAACTCTTTTTCCATATTCTGGATATTTCCATGCTCAATGCTTATAATATATATATATATAAGATGAGGACCAGAAACAAACCACCATATGGCAAGTTTTGTTTGTCTGTCATAAGACAAATAATAATCAAGTACAGTGGTCCCTCGCTTTTCCTAGTTCTCGGGAATCATAGATTTCGGAAATCATAGGGATATTTTCATATAAACATGGGCTCGCTAATCATAGGTTGACTCGTCAATAGTAGTTCGTCCGGGACGCGTATGTGCGGTGTGAGCCGGGGCGGCCTCCCTACCCAGCCAGTCTGGCATTGTTTACCAGTGAGCTAAGGTCCCCTCACGTGCTCCTACGAAATATTTCATATTCCACTCATTTTAGTGCTTGGAAGTACTAAATAAGCTACCATGGCTCCAAAGAAAGCTCCTAGTGCCAAGCCTGTGGTAAAGGTGAGAAATACGATTGAATTTAAGAAAAACATCATTGAACAATATGAAAGGGAGTGACTACCAGGACTTTGAACTCTACTTGGAGAAAACTGTGGCCAGATTGTGTCGACAAGAGGAATTTTGAAGGGTTTGGGACTGACCCTGATTAGCCTATGTCTGTTGTTAAATCAATTGTGGCACTGGGGAGTTCCATGGGGTTGGATGTGAGTTTGGAGGATGTAGAAGAGTTGGTGGAAGATCACAATGAAGAGTTCACCACTGAGGAGCAGCAAGAGCTTCAGCAGGAACAGCAACAGATCACAGCTCAGAATCTTGCTGCAGAGGAGGAGGAAGAGAGATGGAAGAAGGTGCCTTCTTCAGAAATTAAGGAGATTTTTGCTATGTGGGGTAAGATGGAAAGCTTTATGGAGAAACATCACCCAGACAAGGTTGTTGCAAGCCATGTTGGCAACATGTACAGTGACAAAGTCTTGGGCCATTTTAGGGAAGTGTTAAAGAGATGCCAGAAACAGAGCTCTCTCCACAGTTATTTTGCGAGACAGGATTCCAGTGACTCAAGGTGGTCCTAGTGGCATTAAGAAACAGAGAAGAGAAGCAACCCCAGAAAAGCAATTGGTACCTGAGGTGTTGCTGGAAGGAGATTCCCCTTCCAACTGTAAACAATCCAATCTCTCCCTCCTCCAGTCTCCCATACACTAAGAAGAATCTCCAATAAAGGTAAGTGTTATGCTGTTAATGTTTCATTCATTATTTCCCATTGTATTGTTTATGTACTACATCTATATTTCATGTAAAAAAATTTTTTGTTTTTAATACTTCTGGGTGTCAGGAACGGATTAATTGTATTTACATTTATTTCTTATGGGGAAAATTGATTCGCAAATCGTAGATTTCGATAATAGTAGCTCCTCCAGGAACGGACTATGAAAAACGAGGACCACTGTACCAAGGAACATGCGCCTGTAATAGAAAACTGCCCACGTAATTATCAACAACTACCTTCTTGTCTGAAGCATGGTGATCACTTCCTAACAAAACTGCCTGCTACTGCTTTCAAGAAAAGGCTCAGAAGAGGTGTTACGTCTGTGCACATACAAAAAAATGCCCACAACAATGCAGAGACACTCGTTTTATGTGTTTAGAGTGTAAAACACCATTGTGCATGACACCATGTTTCAAAGATTTCCACAGGCTGCAGAACTTCTAAAAACATGTCCTGTGACTGTATGTGTATATAAAATATAGAAAAATAGTAATAAACAACATTTTGTATTGTTTGTTTGTGTAAATATGTTTTGTAAACAAAACAGTGACAACCGTGTTTATGCAGTTATTGTGTAGTATAGAAAAAGAAATA